CCAGTGACAACCGTGCCGGTGTCTTTTGGTAAATGTTGGGAGCCTGCCAGTCAGTCAACATTTACCAATGAGGGTGAGTAAATATCGAGGCTGGCGTTTAGATCTGCGGGCGTTTTGTTTGCATCCGCAAACAACCACTTCATAGTCGCGATACATACCGTATAATACTTGTACCGGTAGTATACAACATGCCAGTTTTGTTCATGGAGTTCGAGAATCGGGTTGGCAAGGCAATGAGTTTTCTTGCTGGTATTCTTGTTGCACTCGCAGGAATTTTTCTGTTCGGTCAAGTGGAGGAACTCTCTGATATATCCAATGGCAACGTTGTGTCTCGCAACTGTTCCTATTTATCGAAAAATACTAGGTCTAAGTATTCTCGCTCTTGCCCCACAATATCTGTACCAACATTGGATATTTTGCCTCAATGCTTTAACGGCTCTGTTTGGATGGGAGAATGGGAACTTAATAGAAGTCTTGTAAAACCAGGAGCAAGAACGCCTGCAGACGAAGATTTGGCACGACGATACCATTCTAAATTTGAATCATCGTGCAACATGACCGATATCCTAAGATTGTCGATTAATGAAATGATTTCTGGACACGTCAACGATGCTTCTGAGCTCGCGGTGTTAGAGAGAATGAAAGGATTGCGAGGGCAGACTCTCCTGCAGATCGGAACATCGGTTGACAACCGCCTGCTCCGATTTGGTTGTCCAGTTTTTGGCACCAAACGCAACGTGTATAAAGAGGGAGACATTGCAGTCTCTGAATGCCAAATTCCACTCATTGATTTTACCATGGTATATGCATTCAATGATGCGCTGACAAAGGCACACGTATCTGTCGAAGAGCAAGGGGACCATTTGAAAAAGATCGATGAGCTTATGTCGCAGCATGGAATTCAGTCTCCTCGATACATTGTACTCTCTGGTATTGAATGGGATATGAAGTGGCACAAGGACCACAAAGAGCAATTTGATTGGAACTACACCGAGCTGGTTGTTGACGAAAAAGTGTCGCTTTTGCGACGACATTATCCTAGCGCTCTTGCCCTTTTCCTCCGCACGCAGCCATATACTAGTGGGAAGGAAGGAAGCCTGGCATCTAAAGAAAGCTTCCAGCGTTACAATGATCTATTCTATGCTACTGCTCGGCACCACAATCCAAATGAAAATATTTGTGGAGGAGTCCATGTTGCAGATTTGGCTGAAATGATGCTATACAACGGTACTGCTGAATCCGGCTGGAGTGATGGCGTTCACCCTTCAGGATGGGTCTCTCTGCAGTTTATGAATGTTCTACTGAATGTGGTATCATTAATGGGTGAGCTTTGCAGATCTTGAAAATAACTATATTCTTCATTTGGAGAAAGCGGAACTCCGCCTGAGGAGTCATCAAGAAAAAGACCCAGAGCATATGCTGGATACATGCGTGCTATGAAGGCAAACACTGACAATGCGGAGTCTCTTCTCGCCTTTCTATCCGGCCCTGTTCTTCAAACTTTTCGAGCCTTTTGTTCCTTGAGAAATGTCTTTGAAACATTGTAACAAATGGATTACTCCAACAGCTTTGAATTTCTTTTATATCACACTCCTTGGGCTTATGCCACACACGAGGAGAGCTTGTTTGTCTTGTTCAAAATCTATTTTCCCTTTTTATTAAATTTAAAAAATTGCTGGTGCCAATCTTATTCGTGTTTGTTGAGATATCATTTCATATCTATTCTTCTTCATGTGTGTATTAGTTTCTAACTAGCATCGTGCATCAAGTGCCAGGTTCAAGTGAGTTAATATGCTCGTTATTGAACGACATCAGAGCGATAACGGGGTTGGAATAGTTTTACAGTGTGGCAAAAGGCAGATAATCAACAGAACTGTAAATTGTCGGACACTTTGACTTTCAAAATTGTCGGACGCTTTGACTTTCAAACGAACAAATTGGATGATAAGGCCGAAGTCGATTAGAACTGCTCGGCGATGAACTCGACATCTATATATAGTGACATTGGGATCATCCATTGCTCGACCACAAAGCGCTCATACTAAACGAACAGAGCAGCTTCGACGCTGCCATGGAGACGTTCAACGAGGTACTAATGATAGGAAAGGAAAGCTTAGGTGAAATGCACCCTAGAACAGCAGCCACAGACCTAGTACGAAGACATGGCAGCAGGAGCATACGTCCGACAAGTCATGATAAAAGATGTCATCAATAGGCGTGCTCGAAGGCCATCATCATTCGTCGAAACGAGCTTGGTAATGATGATTCATTCCCACGTAGTATAAAAGACCCTTTGCGCACCGTTGAATTCTTACAGCGCAAGAAAAAAGCGACAGCACTAAACGGATTGGGTCGATGCAATGTACGCAAATGGTGATTTGGAAAAGGCGATGCAATTCTTCCAAGAGGCACTGGATGCTAACAACGAGGAAAACTCTCATGTCTATATAGTATTATGGCAGCAGTCTAGTATGAGAACATTTCGGATGTCCAAGTCGACCAGGGGTTGCTGGAATGTGCCACTGCTGCGAGGAGTGCAACCCTCAGGATCATGATTCATTCATCAAAGGACGGTTGGTGCTGACGATCATCATGCTCACACGAAGCGACGCATGGAAGCGCAGAGATCTTTGCTGAGAGTTCTCGTGGAGAATCGGGTCTAAGCTAGGGAAATCATTAGGGAGCCGTATCTATGCAAACAAAGAGTCTGAATCGGGTGGTCGAGGAGGAATCATGCATGATGAAGGGAATAAACGCCCCCGCTTAACTAGTATCGAGTCTGGAACAAGGGCACTAGTACTGCTTGGCCATACATACGATACCAGTGATTCATTCCCTTTGAATAGAACAAATAGAAAAAAACTATCGATTCAATGATACCAGTAATCGATGATTGTGATGGCTCCAACCGCTTGAGTCGATGGGACTTTTTTGTTATTGCTGGGAGCAAACAACATGAATCGACCATAAAGCGCTCATACTATACGAACAGGGCAAATTTGAAGCTGCCACGGAGTCATTCAACAAAGTGCTATTGATAAGAGTGGAAATGGTGCGGTAGGTGCAATGTACCCAAACATCGAGTAAGACCAAGAACGCAGATCTCTGTCATCGACTATACTGCACTGAACATTTTTCGGAGGAAAGGGGAACAAAAGAGGCTCTTTTGAACAACAACAAAAAGGCCTCTGCTGGGATTCGCATCACATTATTGCACGACTTTCGTTCTGATTTGTTCACAAAGAAACCAACCAAACAAAAATGTTTCATCCTTCCCGAGTTCTATTATCCACCTTGACTCTCTGTAGCAACCATAAACGAACATGGAAAGTCTTTTGGGACTTGCAATGTCCGTTTGCCCGCAAGAACTTTTACCAACTCCCCGAGTTGAAACAGCACTTTTCGGACGAATTTGACATCTCCGTGCACTTGACGAGCCTTGCCTTTCACCCGCAAGCCTTTGTGGGTCAAAGAGCTGCGAAAGTAATTGAGAAGAACCTGGGCGAAGAAAAGAAATTCGATTTTATCAACGCTTGCATGGATCAACAAGATTTATATACCAACGATGCCGTTGGAGATTATCGAAAATCAGAAATTGAAAACATCTTTGCCAACATTGCAGTCGAAGCTGGAATCTCCATTCCCACGTTGATAGAACAAATGAATGACTGGGATTTGGTAAAAGAAAGCTATGCCGAACACAAAGTAGCACTGGGCTATGGTGTTTTTGGAACACCAAAGCATGTGATTGATGAGAAACTGGTCGCTGATACAGAGAGTGATTGGGGTGTCGACGAGTGGAAACAAAAGATAGAAGAAATAAATGGTACTGGTCAGTGACGGGAAGTCATTTTAGAGCTACAGTAGCTATGAATGCGTTCCGAAATCTTGACGGTGCGCGAGCTACTCTTCCACACGAAGCTGAACAAGTACTTTGACACATTCAACATGGCGACATTCAATGCGACATGCGACATGCGTGGAGCAAGTAGATCCAAATTTCGGTAAACTGCTGTTGTTGTTTTTGTTGTTGTTAATTTTGTAATAACATAATATTAAAATTAATAACAATAATATGGCTCATTCGGTTGATTTCATTGTGGGAAATACCTACGCTCGTATTCCCAATCATATTGCCAAGAGAAGCCGCGTTGGCGGTCATCGCAAAATCCACGATGTGACTGTCTTTGTCGACGTTGTCAACGATGGCAATCCTGACTTGCTGGACAAAGTTTCCTTTGATTGTGGAGCAACTTTCAGCCCCCAAATCTTTACTTGCGCTTGTCCTATTCCTACACAGACCCGGAACGGAACCTCCGTCTGGAGATTTTCCACTCGTCAACAAGTCTATGGTCCCTTTGACGTCAAGATCAAGATTTATGGAGCCGGTGGCACCACCTTGGTTTGCAACCATGAGGTCCAACTCAAGTCCAACAGTGAAATCATGGCACATCGTGAGCCAGAAATGAACTTTGTGGAATACAAACGCTTGAGACCTCTTTCCAAGATTCGATTGCCGGATGGAGCCCAGTTTGGCATTGAACTAGAAATGTCCTCTGGAGCCACCATTACGCCAGAGTACTTGGCATATGAATTGAGCGGCGATAATCGCTATCAAGTACAAGCCTATGACTACACTCATGCAACCGTTGATCACTGGAAGATTGTCCCCGATAGTTCTATTGTGTGCAACCGATCCGAGCCAGATTGCAACAAATTTGAACTAGTTTCTCCCCCCTTGGGTCCTGGGGCAGGATTGACTCAAGTCCATGCCATCTTGTCCAAGGTGACCAATGTCAATGTCAAGGTCAACAAGAGCATGGGATTCCATGTCCATGTGAACGTCTCCCGCTATTCCGTTCCCCAACTGGTCAAGGTTTGCCAACAGTTTGTCAAATATGAAGCCGTCATGGATCTACTCATGCCCCCGTCTCGTCGCACGGGCAGTGTCGAATCCAATCAGTTCTTTGCCAGCAATCGGCGACACGTGGAGAACCTTGCTCGCAACAGTCGTCGCTCCGTCATTGACACTTTGGCAAATTGCGAAGACTTGCAATCCTTGGTCTACACCATGAATGGTGCCACGGATGGGAGTGGCCGCTATTTCAAATTGAATTTGCAAAATTTGGTGACGGGTCGTCAACCTACCATTGAATTCCGCCAGCACTCGGCCACGTTTGAATACGAAAAGGTTCGAGCCTGGATACGCTTTTGTGTCTTGTTGACCTCCAATGCGGCTAAATTGCGAGCCCCCACCTCATTTTCTTCCGACAAGACTGTGGACGAACAGTTGGAGGCCTTGTTTCAATACGTCCTGAAGGATCGTGATCTTCGAAACTATTACAGGAGCCGTGCTCAAAAGCACAATCACGCGGATCCTGCGGAAGCTGCCTGTTGCGATGAATGTCGTTCCGCGCCTAATTCTGTCTCATCATCCTCTCATCGTCCGGCCAAGCAAGTTCGTCATGGGTTCACAGGGTTCTGTGTTACAACCAATTCAGGCAGTATATAAACTGACTCTATATTTATATATAGTTTCTATACATTTTATAGTATAGTACAGGTATTGCAACAAGTTGGAAATAAAAATCAATCATCTTATAATTATAATATAGAAGTCCTATAATCCGATCATCATCATCATCATACTTTCACTATTATCATAATATGTTTTATATTATTCAATTGCCCTTGCCCGTACTTGCCGTCAGTTTGACCATTTCCGATCCCTCCACATCGTAGTCCTCCTGCAATTGGGGATCTTCGTATTCAAATTCAATTTCTGCGGAAGGTCGTCGCGATGCGGGTGGTTCCGGTTTTCGAAGTGGCCGAGCCAAATTAATCTTGAAGACTTGATACCCAAACAAGGCTGCCGTTACCATTTGCATTAGTATCAGCGTGGCGGACGGGGGTTTGGATGCACCAGCAGCACCACTAGTGCTTCCAGACGAAGTGGATTTGTTGGATACTTGGATTGTGGTTTGAACAGCTTCCTTCTTTTCAGCCTCGGACATCTTTTCATATCCCAAGGCTTGTGCAATGGTCGTGTGGCCCGCAAAATCCACATCGTGATTGGGACATTTCAATTGACGTAGCAAGGCCGAATACATGATTTGGGGATGCTCCATGAGTCGTTGGTACAACTCCGTCTTGCTGCCATCACAGGTCGAAAAGAGAGAATGGTTGTAGAGCACGTCCAAAGTCTTTTCGGTTGTAAAGGGCATGAGTTTGGGTTGGTAGGCACAGTCCCGATACCGAAACAACTCTTCGGCCAAGGCAATGTCCGTATCATTGAATTCTACAAAATCCCGTTCCCCCTCATTGTCATGGTTCTTGACGTATTCGTGGCTGGCAATGAGACCATTGACCGTTCGGCCTTGCAGAATTTGCGTGACGACCACTTGGACAATGTTAATGTCCGAAGAGTCCATTCCGGTCGTTTCCAGCAACTTGACTTCCCATCCTTCGTTGAGATATGCCAACGAGGCTCCCAATGGATTGGTTCGGGCCCCCAGCATGTCCAATCGTTTTGTTTGTTCGTCCGGTTTGTTGTGGGTGTCGCACAACCAATCTTCGTAGGTCGATTCCTCATATTCTCCATCTGCGTGCTTCCACATGGAAACGAATTGATCAAAGCGGGGGGTCCGGTAATGTTCAATGACCAAAACATCCTCCTTGGAGACACCCAATTTTTCGATTATTTTCTTCATGGCACTCAAAGCGTCATGCTTGGCCGATGGTCCAATTTGATCGAAAAATGCCGATCCCACAATGACACCATTAATGTCCGGTTCGTCAAATCTCGATTGGAGTTTCTCCCAGATTTCTTCATTCTCTTCCTCTGGTTCCGTAATGAGTTTATGGATATCGTTCCCACCCCATCGCCAATTCGTCAAGGCATAGGTCCGTACATGACCTTCTTCCTTGGCTTTGGACCATTTGCTCACAAATTTGTAGACCGAATAATAGGCAGAATTGTGAGGACCGGCCAAAAAGACAATCTTTTTGTTTCCACCCAACAATAAAGCTTCGTGTTCTTGATCTGTATTGATAGGCCACGCATTGGCAGTAGCAGTTGATGATGATGATGACGAGGATGCCAATAATACTGCTACTAGCAACACGACCAAACGACCAAGTGACGGCTGACTTCTTGCGATGGAAGTTATTGTTGTGGAAAGTCCTCCTACTGTCAGGATCATTTTTTTCTTCAGTGGTTCTTGCGACAACTGTTAATTCGTGTCAGGGCTTGAAAGAGTGAAACGAGGAAGGAAATATCCAATGGATGATACTCTCGTAATCGTTGTTTGTTTGCTGTTGTTGTTGTTGTTGTTTTTGTTTTTGTTGAGGTGATTATGATGATAATCAACGAGAATTCCAAAATCATCATCGGTCATCGTGATGTTGAAAGAAGACTCGATATCCATACGTCACGCATGAAAGTCTATCTCAGTACCTTTCGAAACTAGTCATCGCAATCCTTCACAAATGAAAATCTAATCAATGCGATCGATAAGATTGTGGATGACGATGTGCAGTATTGAGTATAGTACAGTATATATATATATGCTGCCTGACATATCACACTTACTAATATATCTTGATCTAACAAACAAACAAGCAAGCAAGCAAGCAATTAAACAACCATCATGTCAGATCCAAAAGATCAACAGCAACAACAGCAGCAGCAGCAGCAGCAGCAGCAGCAGCAGCAGCAGCAACAACAACAAGAATCATCGTCCGGACCATCCATTCGCATGGTGATTCAACGATATCGATTCGCTCGAATGTTGTTGGAGGAATCTCAAGTGGTCAGCGTGGGTCATCCATCCTCCTCCTTATTGGTTAACGAGGCTGAAAATGACAATGATGACAATGTTGAAACTGGTACCAATGATGATGATGAGAACAAAGAAGCCACAGTGGGATTGCTGGTGTATATCAGTTTTTCAGCCTTGGCGTCCAAAGAAAAAGTGGAACAAGCCGCCAAGACAGTACTCAACATGCCAGTAGGAACACTCGGAGCTTGGGGAGACGGATCGGGCGTCAAGAGCATGTTGCAATTATTGACGGCAAGAAATAATGCGGCACTGAAGACGAAAACGACAACGACTAAAGGAGACAATGAATCCTCATCATCCAACGACAATAATAATTCCCCCCTATCCATAATTCTGGTGCCCCAAGCAAATCTGATCGCCAAGATCAAGAAGAATGGGAAATCCATTCAGTATCGGGATCAGATTGCCAAGGAACAGGGAAATGAACTCTATGATTTCTTTTGCCTAACGGTGGAAGACTTACTGCAAGACCATCATGCTGTATGCAAGGGAGACAAGCCTGCAAATGGTAGCAACAAGAAATCAAACAACAATGACAACAATAACAACATTCCCGATCCAAGCATACCACCCAATCAACTCTTTCGACGACGGACCAGTGAATTTGCAACCTTTGAAGATGAAGCAACCTCCCCTTGCGGTTTGCCATTGACAACAATCGATGGAACACCTGTGACCAAGTCGGCTCGCAAAAAGATGCAAAAACAATACGAGGCTCATGCCAAGCGACATGAAAAGTGGTTGAAGCTGAATCCACAAGAAAAAGAAGAAGCAAACAACAAATCAGCAAACAAGTCACCGGAACCAGACAATATGAAACCATCACTCGATTCATCCTTTCTGCAGCTGGTCAAGGGTACCTTTGGTGCCCGACAGGGAATCGAAATGCAATCGGACATGGGGCCCTTTTGTCACGTGGTCGAATTATAATATTATATACAGTACAGTAGGTCCTAACAGTATATTTTAAAATAATAATACCTAGGAATGATAACTTTGGATATTACCTTTACAGCAGTACAGTACAAATGGGATCAAACTCCAAGCATTGTCTCAGTACATATGTCGCCACTGGTTTTAATATCTAAATCAATAAGAAGAGCTTATTCAAAACAAAAGCAAATCCTTCTTCAGTTTGCTCTTTTTCCATTTGGGCAGTTTCGCAAAGGCTCCTTTGGTCATTTTAAAGTATTTCTCAAAGTCTTCTGGGGACAAGTACATTTCGCGATGTTGCTTGTCCATTCCCTCCACACGAAGTTGCTGAATGTCTTCCAACGCATGAAAGTGGCCATCCCAATTCGGTGGTTCTCCTTCTTTGGCAGGTTGCTTGCCTTGGAGTACCGTCTTGCCTTCTACTTTGGGCAAGAAAATCTTGGTCTTGGTGAATTTGCGTCCCTCGAGATCAGTGCCAGTAATTCTAACATGTTTCTCCAAGCCCACCATGGTCGTCTCCTCACTTTCAATCGACGAAAAGCCTTCTCGAAAGGCGGCTTCTTCTGGATTGATTTCGGCATCTTCGTCGTCTTCTCCTCCTCCTCCTCCTTCTGGCTCTTCACCTCCTTCTGGAACATCTGATTTTGGCTTGGCAAACCTTTTTCGAATTTCTTCGGCTTTTTCGGGATCCAGTGGAGCTTCTCCCTCTCCTTCTGCAGTAGTGGCGCTCTTGCCCTTGGTAGCGTCCTCTTGAACATGTTTCTCAAAGGCATCCTTCATCGATTTAAGCGTTTCACCAGCATGGCCACCAGCTTTGATGTCAGGTTCTTCTACCTGGTGAGTACCCTTTTCCGACCATTTTTGAACCGATTCGTCCACTCCCTTCTTACGGGCTTCCACAGGGACCGCGTCGTCGCCAATCAGAGCCTTCATTTTCGCCTTTCTTTTTTCCTCTGTCTCCAACTGGATTTTCTTCATCTCTTCTTCAATTCGCTTTTTCGCGAGCTCATCTGCGTTTTCTGCCATTGTTGTGCCTTTCTTGTTGTTATTGTTATTATTGTTGTTATATTATATATTCCTTTTTCTCTACCGGTAGGTTGGATAGTCGTAATGATGATAGTGCGAAGATATTATGATTTTGGCAGCTGATGACACAATTAAATTCGGCGAGATGTCACAGTGTGACACGAAATGACTCTAATGAGATTTTGATCGCGTGATACCGGTATATATGACTGACTCAAACATCTTTGACTCACGTGACTACAAAACAGACACCATGATGGCATTGTATTATTACTGCGGTACCTTCACCGGTCAGTACAGTATACCAGGGTACTGTTGCTTCAAGCTGGTGTTGTTCCGAAAGCGTAATAGTAGCGAACAGCACATGTTTTTGTCAAATTGAACCTGAAAAAACAGTTTGAAGTTATGCACACTGGTAATGAGTACATTGTACTGCATATTGAGTTACGAACTGAGTTACGAGGTACAGGCGACGTCTGTCATGCGCCCTAAACACGATTGACATTGGAGGGAACATATGGTATATTTGCCGCTTCTCAAACCCGCAGTTGGACACCATCCCCACTTGTTATTCCATCGTAGTAATGTCGTTGTTTCCAGCCATACAACGTGGCGACTATTTGGCTACATTGACCTTAATTGACCATGAAGGGGCGGATATCGAAGAACGGAACACTAACGGCGGCACTCCTTTGCACGTTGCCTGTTACTACGACAATGAAGAAGCCTCCATCATTGCAAATCTACTTTTGGATCGCGGCGCCAATGTCAACGCTACAGACAACGACGGTTGGACTCCCATGCACGTAGCTTGCGATAAAGGTAACTTAGAAGCTGTCATTCTTCTTATTGGCCGCAATGCTTTGTTAGAAACAAGGGCGGATACACTAGGAGGAGAAACTCCATTCCATACGGCATGCGCTAAAGGACGTTTGGAAGTGGCTCGGCTCTTGCTATCGAAAGGGGCAGACATTGAGACTTTTTGTAGTAACCAATGGACACCCTTGTGCTCGGCATGTGAAAAAGGTCACGTACAAGTGGTCCAATTGTTGGTGAACAACCACGCGAATCTCGAGGCACGAACCAACGTAGGAGCGACCTCCTTGCATATTGCCAGCCGGCAAGGTCATGAGGAGGTAGTAAGACTCTTACTGAGCAATGGTGCTGATATGGAGGCTAGACAGCAACACCATTGGACACCTTTGCATGCAGCATGCCATCAAAGTCGTATGGATGTTGTCTGCCTTTTGCTGAACCGAGGGGCGTATCTGAACGCGAAGGACATCAGGGGTTGGACTGCGCTTCATATTGCCTGTTGGAAGGGCAATTTGGAACTTACCCGTCGCTTTCTAGGACGAAATGCAAATATCGAGGCAACCACAAATCGAGGATCCACGGCTTTGCACCTAGCTTGCTTCAATGATCACGTGGACGTCGTACAATTTCTATTGGATAATCGTGCAAACGTGGAAGCTGTACATACCCCTTCATGGACACCACTGCATTTCGCATGCGCGAGAGGAAACTTGACAGTTGCCCAACTTTTATTGGAACGAAATGCCAACCTAGAAGCAAAAACAAAGGGCGGAAAGACTCCTTTGATTGCAGCAGGTATTTGTGGGCACTTCGAGCTGGTGTGGTTCTTGGTACGAAGATACCCGTTGTTGATTCTACAAAACTAGTTAAAGGATCGGAGCTAACCTAGAGATAGAACACAACGGAAACAAAATTTGTGTTTTAGGAGAATTCATTATTTCTACCGCTAGCGTTTTTTCCCCAATTGAACCTCCCCGCTACTGTTGTGTCGTCAAAGGTTCCAGCCACACTTGTGCCACCACGCCTCTCGTATTGTCGCATCCACAACGTCCAGGACTGCGAGTACGATTTGCGTCCTTCCCGTCCTTCCTCATTTTCGAAAATTCGTTTTGATTTTCCGATGCCAGCAATTCCACTAAGCCCGTCATCACCAATCCTGTTTCCATTCACTTCCACTTCACTATTCTTATCTTCCTCCCCATGTTTGTACAGACAGATTCTCACTCCAGCAAAAATAATGAGTAGAAAGGCGGTCGCAGCTGCCAGTATTGCTGTGTAGCCAGTTTCCGTGATGTCGCTAGAAGTACCAAGGTCTAATTCCAGCTGATTCTGCCCACACAGACACCCCGCTCGCCGTGCCCTAATTGCCAACGCATCACAAACATTGTTTGCTCCCCATTGATCTCGATATACTTTTTCGATTGCCGAACAGGAAATTTCATCGCGCTCAATGTCAACTCTTTTCCCAGGATTGATTAACGCAATACCAGGTGGGCAGATTCCAAAACACTGCTTCTCTTCTTCCTGCCCTGAGACATCACCATTGTCGCTTTCAGAAGTGTTAACTGGATCTATTGTCGCCGTCGGCTGCTCAGTCATAATGTCAATCGTCAATGTATCATCAAGTCCTCTCGTTGGAAATGCCGATGGCTTGTTCGTGGGCAGCAAGCTTGGAGTTTGGGTCGGTACAAGACTGGGCATTGGAGTTGGTGCAAGACTGGGCATTGGAGTTGCAATTGAAGGACTTCCAGAAAAAACGTTACTTGGACTGGAAGATGGTGCATCCGTCGGCGTCGAGGAAGGAACCGAGGAGGGCATCACGGTTGGTACCAAGGAAGGGTTGTCGGTTGGTATAAAGATCCCAGAAGTTGGCGACATGGTCGGCTTGGGAGTCGTTGGGGATTCACTCGGATTAGATGACGCTGTGATTGTCGGCGCCGTCGTCGTTGGTGCACCACTCGGCATGATCGATGGAAGTCGTGTCGGTCCAGCAGTCGTTGGTTCAATGCTAGGAATCGCGGATGGTTGAATTGTTGGTTCCGCTGTCGTGGGCTCGCTACTTGGACTGTCTGATGGAAGTATACTAGGCATATCTGACATGGTTGGTAGCATCGTCGGCCCTGGAGTAGGTGGTCTCGTCGGCCCAGGTGATGGCTTTGGAGTAGGTCCAGGGGTTGGATTTCGCGTGGGCGGTCTTGTTGGCCCCGGTGTTGGCTCTCGAGTTGGTCCAGGAGTTGGATTTCGCGTTGGCGGTCTTGTTGGCCCCGGTGTCGGCTCTCGAGTTGGTCCAGGAGTTGGATTACGCGTTGGCGGTCTGGTTGGTCCTGGCGTTGGGTCTGGGGTAGGTCCAGGAGTTGGATTACGCGTTGGTCGTCGCGTGGGTTCCCTCGTCGGAGGTCTCGTTGGTTGGGGTGTTGGCGGTGGAGTAGGTTGCGGTGTCGGACTTGGAGTGGGCCGTCTCGTCGGTTGCGGAGTTGGTCTTCTCGTTGGAGGTCTGGTAGGTGGCCTCGTGGGTCGTCCTGTTGGCGGTGGAGTCGGTGGACGGGTAGGTGGTCTCGTCAGACTGGTAGTGCAAACCTTTGAAGAATCCCCCGCATTGTAGGTAAGTTCGGTCCAACCTAGGCGCGGATTATTGGCTTCTGGTATACTCAAGGTTCTTTGGCTGTCTGGTGCCCAAGCAAATGTTTCAATTTGTCCAGCGACTGGATGAGTCCAGTCGACGCACGCCCTACTCCTATTGTCTGGATTGGCCATGGCACTCCAGACGCTTGTCCCCGGACATCGCAAGAATACAAACGTCCGTACTGCGTTTCCTAGTCCAATCATGGTTCCGTCCATCGACATTTCTGCACCGGTCCACGTTCTCTTCATGATATGAATGCCTCCATTGTTCTCATATTGTTCAAAATCGTACCTTCCAATCGCTCTCGGTGAATAAAATCGGACGTTTCCCTCCAACCGACTGGACCAAGCCGATGCAGGAATATGAAACAGACGATTGTATCGAAATTGATTTTCTCGGTCCCATTTCGTAGCAAGATAAATGTCTGCCGTGATAAGATGAAAGATTAAGGAAGGATGGAAAATGAAGTTGTCAGTATCAGAAGCAATACACTCAAATTACTACGCATAACACCCAAAACAATATACTAACCTCCGACAGCTTCGTCGTCCCCCCACCCCTTGTGATCCAAAAACATTGCCTCGCAATCAGCGTGATTGGTAGGCGACGATGAATGGTCATAATAAAATGTCAACTTGGACATCCTACTAGTAGGAATCCTATCGTTGTCATTGTATTCCCCTAGTCTCGGTTCTCTTATTTTGACAACATGGTAGCTACCCCTTCCCCTGTTACCACTGGTGGCTCTTGCTTCATTGTCCCCCGCGTCCATAATGTAGAGACATGTCTGATCGACTCCCGACTTTCCACAGGAGCCAATCGTCAATGACTCCCAATCGCGATTGCTGAAAAAATCAGAGGATACTCTTAGCGTCATCAGTCGGTCCCCTGTGCGGGAGTCAAATAGCCCAATTCGTTGGCCACCACCTCCGTCGCTGATGCCAAAAAATATGGGACGGTTGTTGTGCCTCTGTGATGGTGAAAATGCCAGCCCACTGATTTCTCGAAAGCCAGGACCATTGGGATCTTCCTTATCAAGAAGCGAGTCCGCAACCTTGCGTTTGACAACGGGGCACATGACTTGAGCGTGAACTGAATGCCATGATGCTGTGGTGACGACAAAGGCGATGAACACGAAACTTAAGAATGCAGCTTTGGACATTCTTCTCATTGGTTTCATTGGTTTTCTCCTTTCTTATATTATTCTATTATCTCTAGATGTCTTTCGTAGTCTTCTCGGTTAGCTTACAAGAAATTCCGATGGTGAGGTTGAGAGGAGAGTTCCTGATGCATATAGCCTGGACTTCACGTATCAAATATATCTTATTCATTCATACCGGTATGGATTTTCTCGCTTTTAATCTTTGAAAATTCTGAACGGTCTCAAATTTGGCGCCAAAGCCAATACTTATTAACCCCCTGTAATTCCAGATTTGGTGGCGCCGTTTTGATTCTATTAAATGTATAGTAATTGTAACAAACACTTAACCCCTCCTCTATAAATAACTTATTTTAGAAAGAGAACCCAATGCAATATCACAAAAGGCAGGTGTGATTGGCGCGTGCCAAAGATCATAGTAACTGTATTCTGTCACGTGGCCAAAAGCGAGGATTGTTGCTTTTGAGAGCGACAATATGTACCGGAATCAATCCCGTCAAATTTTCGACAAGAAAACTCATGACATCCGATACTGATGAACAGAAGGATAATACTAGAAATGTTTCGGAAACGAATGCAACAATAGACGACAAGAGGAAAAAGAAGCTCAAGAAGAAACGGAAAAAGAACAAGCGGAAGCTGTCTGTTGATCACGAAAAAAATACAGAAAGCACAAGTGACAAAACCCTAGACACATCACGGATAACATCATCGCATAAATCCACGACAGCCAATGATTTGAACGATTCGCCAAAGCCAAAGTCGAACAAGAAGAGAAAGACAGAAACTTCACCATCAGAATCCCAATCATTAACAACAGAAACGGAAACCACCGATGGCCCTCCGCAATATTCCTTTCAGGTCGATGACACAGATCACTGTGAAACACCTGTCGAGGCCTACCGAGATTTGCTCGATGTTTTGGATAAGATATGCAAATCGTTGAACAAGACACGCGCCAAGTTGCTAGTTTATGATCCCTATTATTGCAATGGCGGAGTGAAACGGAAATTGGGCTCCTTGGGCTTTGAATCCGTCATTAATAGGAATCGAGACTTTTATCAGGATATCGAAAATCATGAGATTCCAGCCTATGATGTCCTCATTACCAATCCTCCCTATTCGGGTGTCCATATGGAAAAGCTTTTATCTTTTGTGAATGCATCCAACAAAAATGACAGAAAGAAGAATGCCAAAGGTTCCGTCAACCCGCATAACAAACCTTGGTTGTTCTTGCTCCCTCACTTTGTCTATACCAAAGACTACTACCATCGAGCGCTCAAGTCCAAGCCATTGAAGGATCAAATTTACTTTTTGGTACCCGAGGTGCGTTATTCCTACGTACCTCCCTCATGGGTCGAAGACTCCAAAGGATCAACGGCATTGTCCAAGGGCAAGACCAAAACGGCACCCTTTCCCAGCTTTTGGTATTGCCACACCGGTAACAAGTTTCCCAAGTCTTGGTTGACAGATACCTACGGCCCAACTGGATCATTCCGGTCCAGTAATCCCACTCACAAGTTGAGGTATGCCAGTTGCACCAACGATATTCCAAGAGATTTCAAGGGGGAGTTTGACGAGACAAAGAAAAGACCGAATCCCAAGGCCCGAAAACGAGCGGCGGCCAAGAAGCGTCGGGAGGCAATGTCTGGGAGGTAACGGACGAAGTCATCCATTTTTACCTGTGCAAATAATGTCGAAACTGATACAACTATTGACTCAAATTATATGCGATGCAGCAGCTCGTAGTGGCTTCGACAGATCACCTTATACATCAACATCACGTTGCACAAGGGGCAACAAACAGAAGTGGCTCCAGGCTGTATGCTAAAGCTAAGAATTCTAATTTTCCATTCACAAATCCCCTTCCTTTTTAAAAGCATATACAATCTATAGAGTTACAAACAATTCCTCCAGCGCTTTCTTTGTGTAAGATACAGCATCTGGTAATGATGCGACTGGTTCTTGAGAATGAGGTTTGACTGGCATATACGGGGGCGGTCCGAATTCAGGAGATGCATAAATGGATACAGGCGATGGATTTCGATTGAGTTGCTCCTGCATAAGTTGTTTCCATACTTGCAATTGCAATGTTCGTTCGACGTCGCATTCCTTGGCTGACGGATCGCTCATTTGTGGACCTTGGGCCCATCCAAATCGAGCATGGATGTATTCACAGTGACCACATATGGTCTTTATCAGTTCGGGCCACCATATTTTGTCACGATCCTCGTTTGGATTAAAGACTCGCTCGCAGGCGCAGTACCAGTGGGACAAATCGGCATTCAACTTGAGCTTGGCAAGCGATGGTGATGACAAGAGGTCTCGTGTTTGAAAGGGACTGCCGAATAGGCGCTGTCGATGGGTTTCAAATGTGACCATCGTTTCAGGAACCGTTTGCTCAATTTCTTTCAGACTAAACTCTAGAAATTCAAGGGCTTCCGACTTGGACCAAGCATCCAGCCCTCCATGAATATTGATAAATCCACCCACGTTCACGATATCAATCAATTCCTTGCATTCCAAAAGTTGCTTCTTCAAGTCTTCTTGGTGTGAAGCAACATCATATGCACCACAATAAATGTACTCGTCGTCTTTCAAATATCCTCCTGATGTATGTATCTGGCACACCACTGCCAAGCCGGATTCGTTCAATGATTTGACCAGCAAATCCTTATCGAATGTCCAAGCAAGTCGGATCACTTCAATTCCGTGGTAACCTTCTTCTTTGATACTCTTTAGAAGCTCTGGTGAGAGAGGGTCATCGATTCCCCAAAGTGTCTTGATCAGCTTCAGCTCCGGTTGTTTCGTCATGATGGAGGTATATATTATAGAATAAGATATATTAATATCGTATGTCAAACAGAATCGAAGTTGTCGAAACAATTTCATCGCCAGCCGAACTTCACACGAGTACTCAACGCATATTTTCATCGCCAAACCGGGGTGGAACATTTATATATCATATGTCGATGAGATAGTCAGTCGTAATAATACCAACAAGATGGCAACAATACTCAAGCATGTATTATGCTTATTGATCCTGGCTCCCGCAGTGCTGGTTCGAGCAGAGTCCAGCATACTACTAGAGAACAATGCATCGTCGTCGTCATCACGAGTTTCGACTACCATTAAATTTGAATACAAACTGGATGCCTCGAACATTCCGCAATATGGGTCGGTCCAAACCGTTGTCGACGTAATTGATTCTGTCATGATTGATCGGATGCAGCAAAAGTTATCGCCATTAGAAGCCGCTCAACTCGGCGATGCAGTGCTGTTGGATCAAGTCAAGAGCGAGATTTATTCCCAGTGCTTTGCCAAGGGCGACGAGTGTGTAATGGCACGATCGATGTTGACCATTTCCCACAACGGCACAAAATCGGAACGATCCCTTCAATTTGCAGCCCTTCGACTGGTGCAAGAATTCCTCAAAGAGTTTGATACCAGCTATGTCGATGTGGCAACCACCTACATGTTTCCGAGAATCATTCAAACCGCTGCCAAATTTGATATTCATGGAGTGAATGTACATTTGAAACCAAATGCTATTGAAATTTTCAGAGAGACCATGCTGGTGGTCTATGGAGATGCCCTTACGGCAAAGCAAGGAAGTATGGATCTATTGGATATCCAATACAACTTCCAGGAGAAAAAGCAGGGCGACGATGATGCACCATTCTTGGAAGCCCACCTCATGATCAGTGGAACATGCCGTAGCTGTACCGAGAGGTCCTTCCAATATATATTTGACACTGTCTTTGAGGAGTCCAGAGACGAGTTTCAGAATCAACTCCGGTTAAATGCAGACTCGAAAGGAATCTCCGAGTTTGCAGGAGTGACCGAAATTGCATACTCTTGGCCAGAAGAACCAGAGTTTCTGGACTCGTTGGACGAAACCTTTTTTGTGGAAGATGTTGCAGATGAGGTGACTGAGGAGGAGATTCCTTGGTGGATAATATGGATCGGTATCGGACTTTTGCTGGTCAGTCTAGGGTTGGGCATATTGTTGTTTGGCATGGACGACATGCGTGCCTGGGAGACCAGCCGCCGAAACAACGAAAACAACAACAACACCAGCAACAACAACAGCACCAGCGATTCTTCCACCAAACCAATCGATGATGTGAGTGACACGAGCGATGAAAATAGTCAATTTACTCTATCATCCCGGTATGAATTGGAAGAAATTGTGATGGGCGACTCCAACCCTTACGCCAAACACAACGTCGGGTCGCCCAGTAATTCCGATGGATCGACGTATTCCATTTGAGGTCCTAGAAAAAATACACCAACTGAAACGATAGGTAGTATTATATACTTCCATATGAATTATGAAATGAATGAATGAATCACCCAATAGAGAAAAACTTGTCAAATGTCAAGCAAATTGGCTTTTCTTAGAAACAGTATAGTATTGCAGTATTAATATTGCGCTATCAAAATTCGTAATGATCAAAGGATGGCGAGAATTGTAAATCCAGCCATTCTTGAATCGATGGAATTTCGTAGGCAGGAATGAACAAGAGTTGATTGGCATCCATTGAAACAATGGGAACCCCGGACGTAACTTCTTCAAAAAAGTACGCAGCGACTGCCAGCATGGCCACTCGACCATTGAAGAGTTCTCGCTCTTGCATATTTCGTTTCATTCTTGGTGGTGCTCCCTCCAAGAACTTGAGTGGATCCCACAGGCAATCCCCCGGCAAATAGGCATCACCAATATTGTCCTTTTCTTGCATCTCCTTTGCAAAAATGTCCAAATAACCAAGGTTGAGCATGAACAGCGTCATGAGGAGAGGAAAATAGGGAAGGGTGACCGTATCGTACACAATGGGTCCGAATTGGTCGTCGTCCAAGAGCAAACGATCCAGCATTTCTTGCAGCGGCCAAAAAACGGCAGCCAACATTGCCAACCGGCCATGTCGAATCTCTGCTTCTCGGTAATCTCGCAATATAAGGGCCGTGGGTCTATCTTTGGGTGCGGGTGTTTGTTCGGCTCCCGGCAAGGATTGCAACAGCTTGTACTGAATGTCCAAAATATAGTCTTTGGACGCAAAGCCCAAAGGATCAAATCCCCAATCACCTGGCAGACATTCAGATCCTACACCTGCTGCCACTGGCACGACGCCTTGCAATAGCGCCTTTTCCAATTCGGAAGAATCCAAGGTTGGTGGAATTTTTTTAAAGTTGTCGCCGTCTCTCATGTTCTCTTCCTCGTCATCGTCATCCTCGTCATGATCCATGAGTTCAAACAAGGTATTGACATCGTCGGCAAACCCATCAATGCTCAACATTTCATCATTTTCTCTCAGAAATTCTTTCAATTCGCTGTCGTCCAATTTGACATCCTGCAACATGTTTTCCAAGAGGAGGAATTCGTCGTCCTCACCATCACCACCACCATCATCCTCATTGTCAAACGTTTCATCGGTAGGAGCCACTTCCAGTGCCGAAAGTACCCATCGAGGTCGTACGCGATTGTTGTTGTTGTTCTTGTTGAAAGGCGACGACAAGTTGCCATCAGAATAATGATGACGAGACGGCGAGGATTGTATCCGTTTCCGGCGTGACAAGGAGGATTGAAATGCGAGCGGCGGCGGAGCAGTTGCCGAAATGGAACTCGAAACGGATGTCAGGAACGACTTCATATTTTTAGTTGTATTGTTTCAGTGATGTATGTAGTATGACTCGGACTATCTGCACTTGTTGTTGTTGTTATTGTGATGAATTCTTGTTGCAAAGAAGAAGTTCTTATGCAAGGCAGTAGACAGTATGTTTTGAATGAATCAATGAATGAATCAATCTTCCTGTGGAAACTTTTTCGTTGATTTGATTTGCGCTTCTGAATTCTTTTTCTTCCATTGGTGGGATGACGATGACGACATGCGGTTGGTGCGTGTATGGAGCGTGCGAAGTTGAAGCTTGGAATCTTTGAAAGGACACTAAGAAAGTACTTCACATGTCACGCTTCTCTCATTCTCCTTTTGCTCCGCAGATATTTTATTTTGGCAACACATACAGTATGATGGAGATGATTGAGATCTCGTGACTTTTATATTTCATTGCAGTCAATGCACTTCTTTGTGGTGACCTATGAATTCATTTTTTGTCCCTTTAGTGGGAATGGAATCTTGGCAAGAAGTTTGGTGAACAGTCTGGTCGGGTTGGGACATTTCGTGTCGGTATGGTGCACCAAACCAGCATCATCATCATCAACATCATCATCATCATCTTTTGGTGGCGATGATGAGGACGAAGTGATGATGACCATTTTTCCTCATCACAATGGACGTCTACAGATCTTTACAACGACTGTGGAGGAATCCAAATGGAGATGCCTAGATGAGAATAGTGCTTGGGAGACGTTTGTATATTCCAAGAGTGACGAAGCAACCCAAACGGGGTTACGGTCTCTATTTGAAGAACACAGCCAGCATAACAAAATGACGACGGATTCATCCCCAATAATTCCAGTGGTCATTGATTGGCACGGGGCTCATGCCTATCAAAGTCTGCCCTTTCCACCACATTGGAAAGTAATATATATGAATTTTCGGGTCTATGCGGCCGGAATTCAGGACGAGACGCGACATGCTTGGTTGAATCAAATGGAACAACGGGCATTGCAAACAGCCGACCAGGTCGTTGTGTTATCCCAGCACGACAAAGAATTGTTAGAAAACTTATTATTGGAGGGAAGCGGTAAGGAACTACAAGTCTTTTATCCACCGCTTCGAAAGGATATACAAGAGCTTGGTACATTGTCTTCTTCCTCTTCAACTCCTCCTCTTCCATTATTGCCAACATCACTACCAGTCGGCAAACGATTTGTCACTTGTGTGGTGCGCCTGTCTCCCGAAAAGGAGACGCTAAGGTTCATTCCCTTTCTAAATAGCATTCGGGATTTGATGGAGTCCAAGGGATGGATCCCCATGTTGGTTGGTTCTCCCTCTGACAAGCCATATGCCCAAATGGTCCGGGACCAGTTGTTCCACGATTTCCCACAGGCCATGGATCTGGTCGATACCTTCTTGTCACCACACGAACTGTGTGCCATTTTTCAAGCCACAGCAATCAACTTTCATCCTTGTTCGTACGATGCCTATGGCATGACCATTGTGGAAGCTGCGGCCATGGGAGTCCCATCCGTAATCGCGGATAATGGGCAAGTCGGTGCCAGTCATTTGATTGGGAAGGATGCCTTTGTGCCCATGGACATGGTGGTGGTGGCAACAATAGCACTAGGAGGAGGAGAGGAGGAGAATCGTGATGATATTAACAGCCACAAAAGTCTGCAGCACCTCAGGACGATACTCCAGGATGACGCAAACCTACGCGATATAGGGCAACGGGCCCGCGAGCGAGCGTTGGCTTGGAACGAGGAGGCATATGGTTCGAGACTCGTTGCATTGGTGTCTAGTGATGCATGAATGAAAGGCTGAAACTTGGCAATGCATCATGATCGCAAAAGCCAAAACCGATGATGGTCTTATTTGTGGATGGATGCTCTATATATTCAATATAAGAATCAGCCGTGTATGATCCGCAATGCATGCGCTCTTGGGAACAAATACAGTATCGGCTAGTCACATTTAAAACGTCTTTGTTGGTACCTCAACACTAGAATTTTCGATACTCATGCAGGACCAGTATGAACAGTCATAATGAAAAGTTAAGGATCCATATGGGGTCTATTTGCTCGAACATTCCATGAACTCCTCGCAGTATACCTCCAAGCAAGATGGCCAAAGTGATTTGGGCAATCATAGCTTTTTGGGATATTCAAGAGTTCCTGCGATATCTGTAAGTATTCTTGATACAATCGTTTGAAGTCTTGCTTTTTAGTTGAAATTGTCGAAGGCATTCGCGAGAGGAACGAAACAGTCCAACGCACCCAAGAAGGGCCGCGACTAAGCAAAACTAGCGCTCACGAAGATTGGCTTGGAGTTTCCAAAAGATTTTTGGAACATCATTCGCAGAACCCCTCATGCTACTTTACTGTCGGCTCATCCAGATAGAGCAACACTGCGTTGGTGAATTTTCTCCAGTGCAGATACCATACCATGAACACACGGAATATTCTCGAGTAATACTTATTGGATTTTTTTGTTTCTTGATAAGCTGTTCTTGTGTGGCATCTCCTCCGACGAGCAGCGACAAGGCTTTCAAAAACTTATGAAAGTTACTATCCTCAATGCCTTCTTGGTACCCCTCTGGATCAGAAACAGCTTGGTGGGCTTGCTGGACCTGCTCCTCTTTCGACAGCCTCCTCCATTTCCTCGTCCTTCCATTATGGAAGATTCATTCCAATATGCCTTCCGAAAGTCTAGCAGCACACGCCCAAAATATCACGGCAGCAGCGAACTGACAGTTGGCACACAACACTGCTGATCAAGGGTCAGAAAGCGGGAGACACAACGGCAAGAACATCAACGCACGTCGATATGCGGGATGGCTGTATATGCGCATCTTATTACTGTGCTCCTCGACTGACAGACGGGTTGGTTGACCGCAAGACGTCCTTCTATTCTTTATTACCCCGTAGATATACCGTACACATGTACGGTATATATAGCGGCCAGAACCCCCATCTTTTCAACCCGATAGTCTAGACTAGAAATGAACGAGCTAGAACGAACAAGAAGAAGGAGCAGCGAGCGTCACAACCACAGCATCAACCAAGATCTAGAATGATACGAATAGCTCGGATAGTACTAGTAGTAGGCTAGACGAAACGCTTGTGATAACTAACCGCAAGAGGAAGCTTCATAAGATCAGCTAGTGCATTATTGATTCTTGGCTCGAAGTAGGACACACCATGTTCTTTCTTTGATGTGATTTTTTTTGTCTCATATCAAAGTTGATCTGCTTGCCGTGATAACGACTTCTGTTTTGCAAGAGAAGTATTTATGGATATAGAAGTACAGTGTGCACAGAGGATCTGGTGCATATTTACTGTTTTTGGGCGGGACCTCCATTGGATGCGCGAGTCCTGTAGTTTCCCATCAAACTTGATCTACTGGATACTACTGGATGAACCAAGGAAGGAGTATCTTCCAGAATGCCAATCATTGTGCTTAGGGTATCCTGGAGGTCCTGTGCTCTCTCGGTCATCCTACGATTGAACATCGGAAGCTGGTGGGGGGGCATCCTTGGTGATTCTGCTGGTGGCATGCCATCCAGTTGCGATACCCCCAAAAGGAGGATGTCGATCAGAGAATCTGAAGGGGGCAGATAATTGCTTCGTGATGCATTGGCGGAATCATCTTTAAAGTTGTTACTCATGTTGGGGCTTCTGGTGAGTTATTTTGTGGGTTGGTTCCTTGAATTCTGAATTTGTGGAGAATATGAGTTAATGTTGTGTACTTTCTTGGGTTCTGATTTATGCCGAACAAAATCTCACTATAATGTCGACGTGTAATGCTTCTTCGCGAACGAGGACCGCCCAAACCAACTGTTACATTCTCAGATTATATAGCATTTCTGCCGGGGAGATGGAATCGGCGAAATTACCGCAATTGGTGCAGTTCTCATACTTCATAACGTGGCCAAACATCGATTTCTTCCTGTATGGCCATACTTCCCCGGAAACTGAAGTTTGGTTGGACTTCTCCGCGAGCGGCGGTTTGCGTACCGTATGCAAATTCTTCGCGAAAAAACCACCAACCCGCCACCAGTACCACTGTAGCCACAGTACTTCCACGCTTATATTTGGCAGGAGCGGTTTTCGTAGAATCAATAATTCCACACGATCGTTTGGCAACAGTGCGATGTTTAGAGTGGATTTGGACCTACCTATCAAAGTACTAATATAGGATAGGCGAAACATGGATTGGATGAACGAAGTGCAGTGACGATAGAAATACCAAAACCTCGTCACGATCACTTTGATCACCACTATGACAATTAAACTCTACACTGGCTTAGAAATAGATTGAATTTTGTAGTCGAAAGTCAAACGATTGTGGAGGGCCAAGTGCATATGTCGAGTCGGTGGCAGCAGTGTTGGAACACGCCAACGCATAATATGTATTCTACCTAGTAGTTGTGAGATTGGAAGCTTGCTCCACACTGCTGCTGCTACTGCGGGATGCTAAATTCTTAGTTTGAGAAATCCAATGACAATCATTGCGATCCAATTCGTCCGCAGTCAGGGTTGATATATGGGTTAATTACCATGTATTCTCAATACGAATAGTCATATAATAGAAAGTTAAGGATGCAGATGGGTCTATTTGTTCGAACCTTCCATGAACTGGCAGTACCTCCAAGCGAGATGGCCAAAGTGATTTGGGTCATCAAAGCTTTTTGGGATAACCAAGGGTTCCTGTAAGTCACCATTCTTATTTTGGACTAAACCTGATTCCGTATTCTGCAGCTGCAAGTTATAACGACTTTGATTCGCAATCTTGTAGTCAACAAGCTGCTCCATCCAAACAATCTCGTTCCCGAAATCGGTGTAAAAGTCTTTTTTGGCTCGAAGGAGGAGTATAGAACGTAGCAGACGAGTCCAATTTACACCAGCCAAGCTTTCGAATCCTGTTTCCCATGCCGCATTACCATAATGGACGCCAGTACTCGATGGCGAGGGTTGGCACGCCTTCACGCAAATGGTCCGAACTTGCTCCAACACAACTTCTTTGAAGGTTTCTCTTGCAAATGCTTCTTCATCCTTCCAGCCTGCTTCCTTCGCAAGCCTGCTGTATTCGATAACTTCATCTGCAACATCGGAAAGCTCGTGGACTTTGTCAGTTCTGGTGAAACGCTTAAATCGTTCTTCTTTCAGTTCTTGATACAAACGTTTGAAGTCTTGCTTTATAGTTGAAATTGTCGAAGGCTCTCCTTCGGCAAGCGACGTTTCCTTGATGCAGCCGTAAACTGCTCTTAATTTTGCTGTAAATCCAGGGTTGTGTTTCACGGATTCCAAGTATTCCCGGACAACATTTTCAAAACTTGCAACTGCCAACTCCGCCTCATCTTCCCAGCCCAAAGACAGTGCAAACTCTTTGTACTTGAGCAACTCACTTGCGAGAGGAACGAAACCATCCGACGCAGCCAAGGGCTCCGATTCAGCCAAACAGCGCTCACGAAGATTGGCTTGGACTTTCCAAAAGATTTTTGGAACATCATTCGCAGAACCTGTCATGCTACTGTCGGCGCATCCAGATAGAGCAGCACTGCTTTTATGAATTTTCTCCAGCACAGACACCATGCCATGGCCGCACGGAATATTCTCGAGTAACACTTGGATTTGTTTCTTGATAAGCTGTTCTTGTGTGGCATCTCCTCCGACGAGTAGCGACAAGGCTTTCAAAAACTTGTGAAAGTTGCTATCCTCAAGGCCTTCTTGGTACCCCTCTGGATCAGACACAGCTTTATGGGCTTGCTGGACCTGCTCCTCTTTCGATAGCTTCTTCCATTTCCTCTTCCCGATACGCTCACGGCCAAGCTTGGCAATCAAATCCTCGTCAAACTCGCGAAATTTCTTGAGGGTCATGCTGGAACAGATTTGGAAAATGAAAGCAGTTATGCCAGATATTGGAATGAACACGGGTGACACATGTTCGGAATGGCCAATCTTCTGTTTCTTGGATGTACTATTCAAAACTTGGTTTTCATTCGAGACTTGGATGCTCAAACCATCGGCTGTATCTAAAAGATCCTGAAGGCTCTTCTGTCGATCAGAGACCCGAAAAATCTTCTCCACTTCACATTGAGCCTCGAGCACAAGCTCCGCTTGCTCCTTGTCATCTGGATCGTCAACCTTGTTGCACAAAATCACAACTGGAATATCTTTCTTTGATTCCAAGTTGGTTTTGACAAAGCGAAGAAGTGACACTTGTTCTTCTGTGTTGACACCTTGACGACCATCCATCACAACCACAGCACAGTCAAAGGTATTCCAATGATTTTCAACATAATCTTTATACTTCTTGCTCATATCAGCTTCATTGACACCGGGAATGTCCACAATGACAAGTTGGGTATCCTTGCGCATCTCGCACAATGGTTCTTCCAACTCGATTTCGAATCGCTTTGTCTGAACTTGATCGCTAGCTCGGAGCTCCAAGTTGTCCTCGGTGATTTCCTTGAGCACCGATTTGGATTCACGTGGACTATCGGAAACCGATGCCCATTCCTCTTGACTCAAAATGGCAAATTCGTTGACACCGGCGGTGGTTCGTTTCATGGATACTTCGCCATATTTATCACGAAAAAGAGCGTTCAGTACAGTGGTCTTGCCAGCTGACACATTGCCAATGATGGCAACCTTGATCTGAAAGGTCGGCGGGGTCTTCATATCAGGAGATGGAGTGCTATTTCCAGACATTTGAGAGTTCTTATTGTATAAAAGATCTTATCGTCTGTTATATATGTTTTCCTCTCGTGGTTCCAAATTGTGTCCCACAAGATCAACAGTGCTGCATTATTACGCTACCCTGTGCGATCAAATTGATGTCGTTACGCCCTGGACACAACAACACAATAATAAGGCGTCTTCCTTATAAGGCGTCTTCCTTATCTTATTGTCCCAATTCTCACCCCTCGATGTAGCTAAGAGAGCGGTCCAGGCAGTCAAATTAAGAACGCCTTTGTTAGTACTCTGAAGCAATGGAATAAACAGTCTTCTTTCTTCCATTTCCCATCGAAACTTCCAGTCCAATGAAGATGATTCGGCCAATTAAGATACTTCTTTTCTCAACTCTGCAATGTTTGACAATCCTGGTGCTTTCTTCAGAATGTCCTTGCTGTCATGGATTTGTCAGCGGGAACACACCCAGATCAATAATCAGTGAACGGGTTGCAATGACAAGATTGCTTGAAAGTGGTGGACAGGACAGTGCTAGTGATCCAAGTGAGAGATCACCGCACCTCCTTGCAATGGAAGAGGCATTGGAAGCAACTCGAACGTATGGTGCAACCTCCAAGGAGGCAAGAGTGGCATGGGAGATTGCCGAAGAGATTGAGGACAGCATCTTTTCTCCCTGTAGCAAAAGGTATGTGATATAGGACGCAATCCGTAGGACGAATGCCAGAATCGGATCAAATAATGTGGAATCGGAATAGCTTTTCAGTGTAAACTCATCTCATCTTTTTGTTCTTGTTTTCGATTGAAAG